GTAAAATGGTTTTCCACTTATCGTGTTATCGGTGCTGCATATATGCTGAAAAAAGTGAAAAAACTGCATAAATTCCCTAAAAGTGACCCGATCATGCTGATTTTCGAACTTGACCTGCGTATTATGAATATTCATCAGTTCTGCAAGTTTCAAGTCAAAAGGTAAAATGGTTTTCCACTTATCGTGTTATCGGTAAAAGTGCACGGCGACGGCGACGACGGCGACGACAGACGCAGATGATGGCTATATGTACAGACACATCTGTGTCTGTACATAAAAACACAACAAACTATTTGTAACTTTTTTTTAAGGCATATCTGTTTGGTTGCTTGAAGGGTAACAATATATTTGCTTTCAAAGGAAAATGGTTACACACATATACCCTTTTGTGTTTGACCTTTCATGTATCTAACTCAATCAAAAGATTAACCATCAAGGAAGTTTAAATAAGCAGGAGTGCAATGCCTCAGACATTGCTTTCATGGTTTCTAACACCATACTCACTTATGGCACCAAAATACAGGTATTGATAGCCTGAAGTATTTATGCTAATATGTTCCTCAGCCATGTCCTGAATACTTGAGTAGACATTTTATTCTATCACCAATGCATTATATGACTCATAAAAACAGCTTCCAGTCTGAGATAAGAACTTATATCATGACATAGACTGGGTTCCCATACCTAGATCGATCTATCTGGATCGGTCTAACTCCCTGGGGAGTCTCATTAAATTGCTATCCACTTAACCGGCTTAAATGTCTGTCACGCCTACCGAATCAGCTAGGGTAAAGATAATTACCCCCCAACAGCTTTACTAGGCGTGACAGACATTTAAGCCGGTTAAATTGATAGCAATTTAGTGAGACTCCCCAGGGAGATAGACCAATCCAAATATCTGAGGGAATGGTCCCATACATGTATATGCTGGGGTAGCGCTTGCAATTTTTTTCGCTTAGCCATATCACCACACTTTTTTCAATTTGTTATTAAAATGGCTATAATTTGGCTAAAATATGTCAAATCTAGCCCTTTTTCTTTAGCCAATTTAAGTCAGTGTTAGCATTTGGCTAAATTGGCGAGTGTTAGCGCTACCCCAGTATATGGGTGTAAAGGTATCAAAACTCACATCTTATTCGCAAAGCTGTAATGAAGTTTATTTTCCCTTTTTTCCTTAACCAGCCACATCTTGTGCATGCTTCCCTCTGGATGAGTTCTTGTGCACCTAAAAAAGACAAAGATTAACAAAACAACTCAATGAAAAGGGAAACAAGAGTAAGAACTGCCATATTTTCCAGTCCACTTGACTAGTATTTAAGTTACTTTTGGAGGTTCTACACTAAATTTTGAAAGGAGATAAAAACTAGATAAGAAATACCTTAAACTTACAAATATAATCCCCTTTTCACTACTTCAACAATCAAAAGTTTAGTCAACTACAAAAAGAAACTAGAATGGAATGGGACAAACATTAGCTGATAACTTTGATTGACCTAGCAGATTATAAGAAAGTCAGAATTGATACAATACCATGAAATGATAAAGTAAGTTTGAATGCAGATAGATCTTACAACTACCTTTTGTTTAATTAATCAATTGTTATCCATATTTCATTGTTCTTTTTATTGACTTAAGTATGTAAGACTTAAACAAAAGCTGACAAGACATAAAAGAAATAGTAGACATTTACCTGATAGATTGCACATACCTAACAGTAAGCAACAGAAATGGGCTAATTGTTGGCAACTTTCCACTTTTTAACACTGTTTAACATTTTTTTCAAATAAATTTAACCTTTTGTTTCAAACTGTCAAACAAAAGGAGTGTTTTACAAATATTTTTTCACAAGTAATTGCTGGGCATCCTGGACTTAGTTCAAGTAACCAATCCTAACAATAATTTGTAATTCAATAAGTACTAAATTAATGGTTAATTCATTTGACTAACAACAGTATTTAACTGAGTGGTTGTGATGTGGTTAAATCTGCATAAGTGTAGTGAAATAAATGTAATGTAACGTGAGATGTTATGTCATAGCATGCATGTGCAATATGATGTACAATGCAAAGTGTCAGTATGAGTTTTACTAAACTAGATTAAGCATGTATAATTTGCATGTTGTTTAATATAACTAGACTGGTACAATCTTTTCAATACTATTCAATAAACTGGAAGAGGAACATGACCTACCTATAGTTGTGTGCGGCTGTGGTATGCTTGATTCCAGCAGTAAGGAGGCCATGCTTTCCTGTCAAAATTAAATCAAATAAGTCTTGCAAATTTTCATCTGACATGTAGCAAAGTCAATATAATTATAAAGCAAGAGATATTGACAGAAAAGGGTACGTACTGAGTATGCACACAGTACTGAGATTCATAATGGCTACTTTTAGACCAGCGATATCTGGTAGCACACATACTTTGTAGATATGCAATTTTTCATTTGAATTCAGGTTTGTGTCACTGTAAAAACAATCTACTGCATTATGCTAAGTACTTCATTCAGTAAAACTTGAAAATGTTCAATGGGTGAATCCCTTGAAAATGTTCAACATGCATACTAGCAGATATACAGTAATTGCTAGTACTTGATCTTTTCAATAGGGAAAATTGTGAATTTTACAGATACTGTATTTTTTAAGTCATAATTTCTTAAAATTGGAATATTTCTATTGAGTTGTAGCAACAAAATAAAAATTAATAAAAAATTTATAGTTCTATTCTATACAGTAAAAAAACACCACAAATGCTACATATAAATATAATTTTTATGATTATAAAATACTGTATTTGACAGTTTAATAACTTTTGCCAATTGAAAAGATGGTGTGTAATAACAGTCATCTTGAGGTAAGAGAATAATATATTTTATTTTGAGATTGAATTACAAGTTGGAGGATTTTTTTTCTATCACAATCTATCTGTTGTGTGTGCATGTGTATGTGTTTATGCAAGTATGTGCCCAAATTCATAATAATATGAAATTACCAAAGTGATTTTGATTATCTATCTACTAGCATTTATTTTTTGCTATTTATTTTTAATTACTATTGTTTTATCAGTATGTTGGCGTGACCTATCAAAGATTATTTAAAAACGGGAGAATTCTGTTGTATTTGTGTTCTAAAACATATATACTGTTTGAGACTCATCATTAATTGGATGAGAGACTGCAAGTGAAAATTGGTGACCCTAGCCTTTTGTTTTCACAAACTAACATAAAAATGTCCCACAATTATCAGATTTCTACTCATTTTAACATTGTGAAAGTTCTGCAACTCAACTGCTGCTTTGACACAAGACTAAGATCAGTTTTTACGACCATATGAGTAATGATTTGATAACATATATGTTGATACATTATACATGTAATTAAAGTTCATATGAAAAACCTTTTAAGGTCAAGCACTTAATTTGAATTTAAAATAAAAAGCAGACAAAGGGTGGCAAGAAAAATTTACACCATAAGTAAGAACAAGGACTAGGGCTTTTAGCTAGCATATCAGCTTTTTGGGGTAATGTGGGGATTTTTTTTAGATGCCCCCTTGTTGCAAATGAAGCCACTGACATATATATCCTTCCTCTGGAAGGGGAAGCAGTTAATGGCATGAAAGTATCTGTACTAGTACTTTCCCATTAGTAAATGTGGCTATTTTTGGACTTTTTCATGGCAGCTAGCAACTGACCCTAAAAAGTGTCAGTATCCACAAATTTTTTTTGAGGTAAATTTTTTCCATTAATGTATACTTAAAGGGATAATAACTCTTCGTATGAGATCTATGTTTCACAATAAAAACATTGTAAACAACTCATAGAGATATGATATATTCTGTTTTACCATAAAAAAAGCAGTTATAGCTATTATTCTGACATCTGAGCTTGTCATCAGACCATGTGACCTCCATAGATGGCTATACTCTGTAATAATCTCTTAAGAGAAACTTAAAAATCTCACAAATATTGTTAAATTTGTTTTTGACTTGCATTTAAGCCAAAAACTTGTAAAAATAAAAATAAAAAACACCCTCTCTACCCTGCCTTCAGGTACAAAAAGGGTGATCACCAATTTTTTTTTAACTTGACCTAATATTCATAACAGCCAGCTAGTGGTGTAGCTACATGTAGGTCTAAACATTTATCATAAAAAACTTTTACATATGAGTTTTAAAACAAACTTTAAAAATAACATAATCACTTTTAGCTCTTATATAAAGGGACAATTGATTCAATAATAATAAAAAACAAGGCAGCAAAGCTGTCAAATGTACAGACAAAAAGCAGGAAATAACAAAATAGGCTACTGTCAATTCTGATGTAAAAGTACATTATGTTAAACTGCAAATTCAACATCAAATTTTAATTATGCTCAACAGGTAATAACAATGTAAGTAAAATGTGTAACAAGCATAAGGCTTCAGGCCCATGGGAGTTCAAGTTCACACTTTGAAAATGTAAAAATTCCAGAAAAAGAAGTCAATTAGACTGCTTTTCCAACTCGAGCTGCATTTTAGTCCTGTGTTTCTTTTTTAAAAGTTTGACAATCATAAGTAATATGGTTTTCCCATGATGGTCATCATGGCAGCAATACCCAAAATTGTGTTTTCTTCTATTTTGATGCAATATTTCATAATGCTTAACAGCATAAAGACCATCAGTTTTTAATAATAAAATATACGTATCATGGATTTTCAGAAAATGTGACTAGCATGGGTCTTTAAGCCCAAGGTGGTTCTAAGTCACACATTGAAATTGCCAATATGTGAAAAATTAAATTTTCACAAAAAACTGATTAACTGCCAGAAAAATTTACCAAATAGACTGCACTGCCTAATGAAACTGTATTTTAGTCCCATGTTTCTTTCCTGTAAGTTTGAGAACAGTAAGTGAC